GTGTGGGGAATTGGTGAGTCAGTTACAGAAGCCAACTGAAAGGGACCCCAGCTTTCTGCTCCCCTTGGCTTTGCAGCTGCTTGCTAAGAGGGTGTCTCTTGAAGCAGCCTTGAAGCAGCCTTGCAGCCCAGCCAGCCCCGATTTACTTAGGAAGCCTTGGTAAACTTATGCGGGCTATAATTTGTTTGCATTAAGCCTGATTAGAGGGTGGACCAAGGAAACCTGCGCTCAGAATGAGAGGCAGGAGCAAGAAAGGGTCTGTCTGTAGCCCGGTTACTGTGAGAGGTGTTAATGTACATAGTTCTGAATTAAAATCCCGCATCTCCTTCTGTGATCTAATTACAAAGGAAAAACCAAATACCCTTCGCTCTTGGTGTTTGTAGTCAATGGTAGACTATACCATTGTTTACCCCGACACTCTTGCCATTTTCTGTGTTTTTTTCAGTCTTTTGGACAGTATTAAGATATTTCTTTTAATGTGTAGGAAAGATCCAGGGACTACCTCAAGTGCCCCGAGTTCAGCTGACTGATCACTCCCCTGTATCAGTATATCAGGTTTCTACTCCAAGAAATCAAACCTAAAGGTTAGACTATTTTACAGTGATTGAGAAGTTCAAAAGGGGGTGGGGAGAGGCTGCTAGTACAGAATGAAGTCTGGACAGGTGGGCCTTCTTTTAGAAAATCGCCAATTGTTTATAAAACTAGGTGTCATATAAATCAGGCAAAATGTAACACACACACACACACACACACACACACACACACACACACACGGTCGCATTCCAGGCTGAAATGCATAGTGGAAGCAGGGGGAGAATGTTTCTCTTCATTTCTTTTTCTTTTAAAAAGAGAGCAGATATCCTTTTTAAAAACTCAACCCTCCCTTTAAGCGTCGCTCCTACCCTACACCCAAATTTGAACACTCCCGGAATTTCTGCCTGTCCTTCAGCTACAAGTTCTCTCAGGCTGACTCCATTCTTAAGAGTGGCTTTTATTTAAAATAGCGTTTGGCTGGTGCTGGGAGAGGCCTGGGTGAGTACTGCTTTGTTTCTAATCCTGCTTTAATGTAAGGGACACACTAGGAGAAGACATTTTCTCTCCTCGAGTTATAAGCACACACTCCCCGGTACTTAGATCTTTCCCAGGCTTACAGGTGATCAGGCGCATGTGCACACAACACCTGAACAGAAAGTCACACGCGCGCGAACACAGAGGCACACAGACAGATCCTTGCAAATGAGACCCCAGGATTCAGAGGATCCTGGTGCCTTGCTGCAGGAGGATTTGGCTCTTTCCTAGTGTGCCCTTGTGGCACAGCGGAGAAAGACCTTAGGAGAAGGTGGCTTCTCTGGAACCCCTTTCTTTGAATTTTCAACATTCTGGGATCTAGTTTCTCTTTCCAGCTCACGATGAAGCTCTCTTGCAGCTTCCAGTGAGCATGGGTCGCACTCTGTGTGTACAGTTTGCAACCCAATGGGGAATCAGCTTGTCCTTGGTTCTGGACCTGGAGCCCAGCTCTAGCAGTGGAGCTGAGCTGAAGTCTGATTCCAGCACTAGGTCCAAAGAGCTGAAGCCAGATCCAGCAGGCGGAGGGAAGTGGCGGTGAGGCAAAGCTCAGACTGGTCCAGGACTAAGGGAGCTAGCGCCCTCATTCTTCCCTGAGCTCTATGTGCACACTAATAGGCATAGGGGCTACTTTTATTATTGTTGTTAGTTTGTACTATTCCGAATGTCCGCAAGGTCTGGCTTTCCAGTTTATTTGTTATGTGAATTTAAGTCCAAATTTTGTGGCCTGTGCCTCTAGCTGCCAGGGATAAAGTCTCAAGAAGAGGCGGAGGAACAGAGGAAGGCTTGGGGGCCCTGTGATTCTTAGGGATCCCTTGAAGGCCTGTTTGATCATCCCAACCCAGTTTGAACTGTGCGACATCTAAAAGGACAAGATCATAACCACAAAGCAGGCTTCCGGTCTAGAAATCCCGGAAGGTTTCTCAGAACCAGCCGCTCCTCTTGCCTGGTCAAGTAGGCCAGAAATCTCCAGTGACTCCACCCCTGGGCCACAGAATTGAATCTTCTAGGCTGCAAGCGGGACTTGCTCGGAGATCGCCCCACTGTAGCAGGATCTGGGAGAGCCTGGGACTGGGGTCTGGCGCTCTAGCCTAGCAGGGCTACTGAAGATGGCTTCGCACGCCCTGCAGCTGCCGCAGCTGCAGGAGCTTTACACACAGTCGGGAGCTGCCGGTGTAAACTCCATTGGCGTCTGAATCCCACTTCATCCCAGACCCCCCTGATCAGCTCGAACTTTGCAGGCTGCCTTTCCAGGCTCTTTAATGGGCTCCTGCTTTCGGTCAAACTTCACCAACAGGGGTTGAACTTACTTCTTTAAGACGCAATATCGTCCTGCACACTGCTGAGTTTGGGGCTCTCCGGACAGCTCCAAGCCAGTGACACAGGCTCCAGCGCCCCCCCCCAAAAAAACCCACAATGCCTTCTCAGGATCTGCACCTTCAGCCAGGATATTACTATCAGTATTGAAGGCCATTGCTGGACTTGCCCCGGGCCTCCAAGCACCTCTAGGCATCCCCTGCTTGGTCCCCTCTTTCCCCAGCATTCTGGCCCTGGAGGAACTGCGGGTTTCAACAGCTATGATTAAAAAACAAAGTAACTGGTTCCAGCGGTGATGCCACGACCAGAAGTCACTCTCCGGAAGTCTGAAGGGAAGCGAGAAGACAGCCCAGGGTTGCAGTGATCAACTGAACCTTGAACACCGAAACAAAACTAATCGTTCGTAGTGTCTTTTATACTAAAGATTTGTGACCACTGTGAATTTCATTCTACAAGAGATTTTTTTTATTCACGCGAAACGCTTATCCTGTTAATCCTTAGAAAAAGTTGAGCAAATTTAAAGTTCTTCAAATTTATTTTTAAGGAAACACACGGATTCTTAAAAACCCAATATGAATACGAAGACCCTTTAACTTACGGATACTAAAAAACCTACAAGTGCGTCGTAAAACATGTCTTACTTTGTGAAATTGTAAGGCGTTTTAAAGTTAAGCCAATATCATTAAAGACGGAATTAAAATCCCATGACCAATGTTTTAAAATAATTACTCCGAAATAAAAGGGAATCTCCAGAAAGGAGGCGAAACCTGTTAGTTTATATGAAGGACTGAGAAATAATAAAATAATTAACTTGAAGTATAAAAATTCAAATATACTTAAAATCATCTCACCTAAGAAAAATCTACAGATTAAGATGTAAGGCCATGCCCACGCTCTACGCAGAGTGGGTGTTAATAAACGCGGGAATGTTTAAATTAAAAAAAAAACACAGGACAAACATGTTGGCTGTGAATTCTTGCTTCCTTCAAATGTTGTGCTTTGTAGCCACATCGATGGGAGATTAAGCGTGCCTTAAAAGACCGTTGACAATGCTAACTTCAGTGCTTTTCTTTCGTTTAAACACAGAGACTCATCCTTTCCTGGTCCTGATTTTAAAAAGCCTGAGAGTCGGAGTCTGGACTGGGTTGGTGGGCGTCAGCGAAAGAGCGGTCTGCTTTCGCGAGGCTGGCACACCCGAGCCAGATGGCGGCGCTTCTAGGTCCGAGATTTTCCGACCTTGTAAGGAAGTGGGCGCGGGCTGAGCGGAGTCAGCGCCTCCGGATTGGTGAACCATCTCGGTGATGGACAGCTCCGTAGGCTCCGCCCCCGCCGCTTTATTGACACTAATGAGCAAGTTCTTCCCACCGCTCTCCTGCTTGGAAGTGCTGACAGATCAAGGCAACAAATTTCAATTACAATCCCTAATTTGTGTCCGCAGAGTGTTTTTTTACCCGTGTTAGTCCTCTCTGGCGCATCAGTCGAGGCAGATCTTGGAGCAGTAGGAGGAGGTGGAGGGGTTGGGAGTTAAAGAAGTGAGCTCTAGGCAGAGAGCGAGGGAAAGGAAACTTGGCTGCTGCGTTCCTGCTTCCTCGGATCCCAACGCCAGAGAGAAAGAGGAAACGGCAAATTTGGGGTTTTTTTTTTTTTTTTCTTTTTCTTTTTTTT